CGCTCCCCAAGCCCTATTTTGTGTTGGGTATTTTCAAGATAGGGTCTTGCAAGGCAGGTGCTGATGGCTCACGCCTCTAATCCTAACTACTCAGGAGGCAGAGGTCAGGAGGACCACCGTTTGAAGCCAACTCAGGCAAATAGTTTGCAAGACTATCTCAAGAAAACCCATCACAAGAAAAGGGCTGGTGGAGTGGCTCAAGGTGTAGGCCCTGAGTTCAAACCCTAGTATCTGAAAAAAAAAACCAAAACAACAGATAGGGTCTTGTAAACTATTTGCTGGGGGCTGTCTTCCAATAGCAATCCTCCTGATCTCTGCCTCTTGAGTAGCTAGTATTACAGGGTTGAGTCACTGGTGCCTGGCAGCCTTTGCTTTTTTAGAGGCATTTTTCACACAGTTGAGGGCAGGGAAATCACATAGTGATTTAAACACAACTGACGCTAATGAGGGCCTGACCAAGAGCTTCTCTGAATCAACTGAGCTGTGTTAACATGTGGGCAGAAATTTAAAATTTTTGCCTTTGAAATTTGACTTTAAAACATTTATTATTTTTGACCACACTTGGTCAAAACTACGTGTAATAATAAACCCACGAATAATGCAGGCTTACTGCATACATCACATATATTTGTGGTGCCAGGGATCAAACCCAGGGGCTCATGAATGCTGGGCAGAAGGTGTTATGATCCCCATTGCAGATGAGGAAACCAAGGTCTGGTAAGGTTAAGTACACGGGCACATGGATAAGAACCTAGATAGTATTGTGTGGTGGGAAACAAGAGCAAGGTTCTCGGCCTTGACTTTTTTTTTGGTGGTACTGGGGGTTTGAACTCAGGACCTTGTGCTTGATAGGCAAACGCTCTACCACTTGAGCCACACCTTCAACCTAGAGCAAAGCTCTTGACTGTGATGCCATCTATGTGTTGTCAGTATTACCTGGATGTCTCCAGCACTTCAACTTGGTTCTGCCCTAGGCAAATCCCTGCTCTCTCTCCATCTTGTCCTCCTTTATCCTGCGTCTCAGGGATAGTATCGGGGATGGGGCCCAAGCTAGGAATTCTTGCACTCATTCTCCACCTGTTACTCACTTTCCACTTTATCCCTCCTCTCATGCCAACTCAGCGTCACCACTCAGGCCACTATCATTGCTTGCCTGGCTCTCCCCCCACCCCCACAAACATTTCATAATGCTTGAGAATTTTCATTGTATGGAGTGCTGGGATTACAGGCGTGAACCACCACACCCAGCTCTCCCAAGAATTTCATATGGTCTGCCAAGCCCTTGAAGATTTGCAAACCCACTCTGTCACCAGCCTTCTCTCCATGCCCCTGACAGGCTTGCTGTTCAAGAAATGTGCTTTCTTGCAAATTAAAACCACACTAAGATTCCACCTCACCCCTGTTAGAACAGCCATCATCAGCAACACCACCAACAACAGGTGTTGGCGAGGATGCGGGGAAAAAGGAACCCTCTTACACTGTTGGTGGGAATGTAGACTAGTACAACCACTCTGGAAAAAAATTTGGAGGCTACTTAAAAAGCTGGACATCGATCTACCATTTGATCCAGCAATACCACTCTTGGGGATATACCCAAAAGACTGTTACTCCAGAGGCACCTGCACATCCATGTTTATTGCGGCACTATTCACAATAGCCAAGTTATGGAAACAGCCAAGATGCCCCACCACTGACGAATGGATTAAGAAAATGTGGTATCTATACACAATGGAATTTTATGCAGCCATGAAGAAGAACGAAATGTTATCATTCGCTGGTAAATGGATGGAATTGGAGAACATCATTCTGAGTGAGGTTAGCCTGGCTCAAAAACCAAAAATCGTATGTTCTCCCTCATATGTGGACATTAGATCAAGGGCAAACACAACAAGGGGATTGGACTATGAGCACATGATAAAAGCGAGAGCACACAAGGGAGGGGTGAGGATAGGTAAGACACCTAAAAAACTAGCTAGCATTTGTTGCCCTTAATGCAGAGAAACTAAAGCAGATACCTTAAAGCAACTGAGGCCAATAGGAAAAGGGGACCAGGTACTAGAGAAAAGGTTAGATCAAAAAGAATTAACCTAGAAGGTAACACCCACGCACAGGAAATCAATGTGAGTCAATGCCCTGTATAGCTATCTTTATCTCAACCAGCAAAACCCCTTGTTCCTTCCTATTATTGCTTATACTCTCTCTACAACAAAATTAGAGATAAGGGCAAAATAGTTTCTGCTGGGTATTGAGGGGGGGAGCGGGAGGGGGTGGAGTGGGTGGTAAGGGAGGGGGTGGGGGCAGGGAGGAGAAATAAACCAAGCCTTGTATGCACATATGAATAATAAAAGAAAAATGAAAAAAAAAAAAAAAAGAAATGTGCTTTCTTGCATCTTCCTCATGGTACTCAATTGTATTGTGTGAGTTCTTTTTGTTTCAAATGTCAGAAGTCTAAATGAAACAGACTTTAAAAAGACTTGATTCATGGAACTGGGGTGCCAAAGCATGTACTTGTTCCTCTCCAGTTCTTGGTTATTTACCTCTGTTTGGCTTTCTTCCTGCTGTAGCTGTCTCCACCAGTCAGTCTAGATTGACTCCCTCCTCTTTTATTTATATATTTGTTTTTGGAGACAGGGTCTCATTATGTAGCCCAGGTTGGCCTTGAACTCTCCATCTTCCTGAGTGCTGGGATTATAGGCACGTGCTACCTTTTGCTTCTCCATCCTCTATTCATTTATTTTTATTTACTTTGGCAGTACTGGGGTTTGAACTCAGGGCCTTGAGCTAGCTAGGCAGGTGCACTTGAATTATTCCCTTCTTCCTCCTTTCTTAGTAATCCCACTACTAAAAAAATTTTACTCTCTTTTAGTGATTAATTCCAGAGAATTTAATCCAGTGATTAAAACCAGAACACTGTTTTTTAACCAGTGTAGTAGTGTTGGGTCCTTGTGACTGAGACAAGGTAGATCAGGTAACCAACTAGGGGACCAAATGCCATAATCAAAAACAAAATTTTTTTTGGCAGTACTGGGGTTTGAACCCAGGGCCTTGTGTTTGCTAGGTAGTGGTTCTACCACTTGAACCACTCTGCTAGCAAGGCCTTGTCTCAAAAACCCAAAATATAGGGCTGGCAGAGTGGCTCAAGTGGTAAAAGTTCCAGGTGGTGCCTATCGCTGGGGCAAGGACCATGCCTGGTTGCCTCTGCCTCCCAAGGGCTAAATTACAGGCATGGACCATCACGTACTGCTCACATCTAAACTATATCACATCAGCCTGAGAACTGATTGGAAAGGTAGCCCTGCCCCTTCAAATTGTCACAAGATCCCAGGTGGATTTGTATGCACATTAGGTTGGAAAGTATGGCTGTATGCCCAAGAGAGTTGAGAGTCACAATTTCAGACCTGAAAACACCCACCTTCCAATCCCAGACCTGACAACTCCAATTCTTCGCATGTGACTGTTTGATGGTGGTGGTGGTGTGAAGTGGGGGTAGGAGGGCAAGGCAAAGGAGAGGGATCTGGGTTAACAGGAGTAAAAGGGGCTGGTAGAATCTTCCTGACAGGACTTCCTGCCTCTCCTCCCTCTCCCCCAGGCCTGCACAACCAGCTGCTGGCAGAGCTGAACAGGTTGGGTGTTGAGGCAGAGACCTGGGTTGTGTTGGAATGCACTTGGGTGCTATGTTTGTCACCGGGGAGAGCTTCCTGCAGGACCTGGGCCGGACCCATCCATCACCTCAGCTTGCTCTTTCTGGGTGTCTGCTCCTGTGGGAGCCCAGGTGTTCCATATAGGCACTTCCTCCCGGAAGCCCAAAGGGCAGAGCCTGTGGTAGGCCAGTGGAAAGGTGGCTCAAGGGGTTGGGGAAGTGGGCCAGTGGGTGCTGTGGCTGGAGGAACTGCTGGTGGAGATGGAACAGGAGATAAATGTGCCCCTCTGGAGGGTGGAGCTATCTATGGGAACCTAGAGCCAGAGGCAGGCCCAGGGTTCTGAAGGGGGAGGGGCTTTCCCTGGCTGTCTTCCCATATTCTGAGCCTGTTGGAGGGTGACCTGAGCTTTCACCTGGCCATAACAGTCACACATACTCTTCAGCCTAAGATCTGACTCATCAGCATCTGTAACACATCTGGGTTTGCCCGGCATTCAGACATTCCTGCTACATGCCCTAATCCCATAGAAATGGGCATTAAAGCCTCACACAGGTTAAACGTGTGCTCTACCACTCACCTATACTCCCAGCCAAACAGGCGTTATTGTGACACTCTTTTGTTGTTGTTGTTGTGCTGGGTGGAGGTACATTGTGGCATTTACAAAAGTACTTACAATGTATCAAACATACATACTTGAATTAACCCCCTCCATCACTCTCCTTTATCTTCTCACCCCTCCTGACACTTTTTTTTTTGGCAACACTGGGGTTTGAACTCAGGGTCTCACGTTTGCTAGGCAGGCACTCTGCCATTTGAGCCACTGTGCCGGCCCTTTTTTGTGTTGGGTATTTTTGAGCTCAGCTTTGTGAGAAACAGATGAAGAAACATTCAGTGATAAAATAATTAAGGTTACAAGGGATTATATCCTAGTTACCCCACCACTCAGCCCTGTAGTTCATCAGCTCCACTCTTATAGAGAACAGGGCTGGCCGGGCCCTGATGGCTCATGTCTGTAATCCTAGTGATTTGGGAGGCTGAGATTGGGAAGATCAAGGAGACCCCATCTCCAAAATAACCAGAGCAAAATGGACTGGAGGTGTGCCTCAAGTGGTAGAGTGCCTGCTTTGCAAAAAGCAACAAAAGGGGGGGTGGGGAGGAGAGAGAAGAGAGGAGAGAGAGAGAGAGAGAAAGAGAGAGAGAGGCAGAGCTCTAGCCTAGAAGGCACAGGACCTGGGTTCAATTCCCAGCACCACTAAAAACAAAAACAAAACAAAACCACGCCCTGCCCCCCCCCCCAAAAAAAAACCCCTACCCTGAGTATCTCCAACACAAGAGTAACTGTAAGGCAATAACTTGTACAAAAACAACCAAGACAATATTTATTTAATTTACATTACAAGGGCTCAACCAGATACTTAATTTAAAACAGAAACAAAACAAAAATAACACCACAGCACAAAGATAGAGTCCTACACAGAAATCAAGGAAAAGACAGACCATCTAAGAAAAAATAAAGACAACCCAGGAGAGGCTGGACAGTCCGGGTCAGGGCTCTTGGCTGGAGACCTGCTTCGAGTAGGTTTCTTGGAGGTACTTCTTAAAAGCTGGAAAAGAACAGGCAAGTCCCAGGTGAATGATGGAGATAGGAGTTCATGAAGATGGGCAAGCTGGCATCCTGAATAGGGACGTAAAGGTGGGGGAGGTTGGGGAGGGGCTGTTCTTTCCAGCACAGCAGACTTTCCCTGTGCTGCCTACAGTCGGGTTCCCAATGGGTTTGCTTCCAGTGAAATGGAGGAGGGCATAGGCAATGTGAATACAGAAGAAGCACCAAGGTGAAGGAAGAAGAGGGCTGACTCCCTCCCTTCTCCCAGACCAAACCAGTCCCAAGTCACTGGGAAGGAGATCACCTTGAGCTGGACGAAGACCCACCTGTGGGGTTTTTCCAGAGCTCAGCAGCATGTGTGTTCAAAGGACTATCGATATTGGGTTCTGTGGGTAGAGAGACAGAACAGTTAAGGGAGTGGGAGAGGCTGACCTGGGGGGACCCCGATAAGCCCCCCATGTTGTGTAGGAGGGTGTGGTCTCAGAAGTCACCTCCTAGCAGGCTCTGGATGGACAGCAGGATGGTCCTGACATCATATAGGGCAGACCACTTGTCCTTGAGGATGTCCAAGCAGATGTTACCCTGGGTGTCCACATTGGGGTGATAGCAGGGCGTGAGGAACTTCACTGTGGGTGCATTGTAAGGGTAGCCACTGGGAAACTCTAGGGAGAGCTTATACCTCAGATCTTCATATACCTGGCATTTGGAGAAAGAGAGAGGTGGAGAGTAAATTTCCCCCACAGCCCATACATATCCCAACCCAAGCCCTACCTGAGGGGCTTGAAAGTTGGACCTTTTAAGTTTGAGACTGGACAGCAGACAATGTGTTAAGCTGGGTGGGTGCTTTCCTCTTATCTGCTGGAGACATCGGCAACTCTGTGGTCTAAGTATGGCAAATTGGCACTACAGCTGAGCATTAGTTCAGTTAGCATCTTAGTTGCCAACAGGAGAAAGTTACATTTGTCACAGATTTGGATTTCTGACTCAAACCAGATCTGCAGCAATGGGAAGCTGCCTCTTTGAGACCTGTACACTCCATTGGCCAAAGTCTTCAGGCCATTCACTTCATTGTGATCTAGTTGCTTTAAACCTGTCTTTTTATTGCACAGGAAGAGAACAAAGCCACAAGGTGGGCAGTGAAAAGGCACAGGGAAGAAGACCTGGCACTTGGATCTCATATCCTGCCTTTCCCCTAAACTCAGCAAAGTGACACTCATCCACACTTACCGTACCAGCTGCTCCATGGATAGTCCCTACCCATTTGAAAAGGTTGTCTGATTCAGGGAAGGCAGAGATTCCTTTGTCACCAGACATCTAAGGAGGAAACACAACACTGTTGGACTTCAGAGTACACTTTTGGACACAGAAAAGGAGTGTCAATGGGAGAGTCCCTGTTCTTGATCTCATCTCACTGTGATCCCAGATAAAGCAACCAGACCCAACTGACAGGTTTGTTATCAGACTGAGGAGGGCAGTTCTACATCCACGGTCTTGTGGTTGCTGGGAACTCAAATATACAAAATGGCATTGGTAGGTTTGAATTGAATATTTAGGTTAATGTAGCAAATGATAACCAGGAAGAGAGGATTCTAAGTACAACAGGACTAGAAATACAAAGATGGGTGGGGAGTCGGCTGTGGGTAAAGCCTGGGGCCAGGAAGTAGGGATGAACAGGACAGGGAGGGCTTTATGGGAGCCAGGGAACTGTTCTAAAAAGAAGGAAAACGACTTCCCAGAAGAGTAAATGATACTGAAGGAGCCGGAAGTAGGAAAGGAGCTAACTGATAATTTGGTGGGCAGTGAGAGAGGTGGATCAACTGGGGATCTGAGAACTCTCAGACACTCACCATGAGCGTCATCAGCTCCTGCTGTAGCCTGCAAAGAGAATTCAGAGTCACCTGGGAGTCTAAGTGCGTCCAGGTGGTGCATCTCCAACCACCCGACTCTCTCCTGAGTTGTCAAAGAAGCTTCCCCCTTCTTCAAAGTCAGGCTTAGCTTGGGGGCACACTCATCAGCAGCACGGGAAGACCCCAGTGGGTCTCCACCATCCCGAATTCCTGGCTCTTGGAGGATGACTATGGCCCGTTCTGGGAGGAGCCTGGCAGCATCTCTAGCTTCCCGTCTTCCTTCAGAAGAGTATCAAAGAACAGCCTGAGCTCCTGGAGGGCCCCTACATCTTCCCAATCTCATCCGCTCTTGGAGGTGGGGTGGGGTCCCAGAGTCTTTGCTTCGGGCCCGTAAATGTGACCTCCTCGCCACTCACCTCTTGCCCACAGGACCCCGGGCGCCGCCCCCGCTCGGCTCGGCTCCTTTACGGGCTGCGGCGACGCTGGCGGCGGCTGGGTCGCGGTTTTGGGAGGCCATCGGAGCGACTCTGGCAAGGAGACAGGAACTCCGAGAACACGACTGCAACTGCGGGGCTGCGGGCCCGCCCGCCCGCGTTTGAATTGTAACCCTCCGGCAGCATCAGCCAATCATCTGCTCGCTTGGGTTTGATCCAGCCAATGCGGCGCATCGTGGCGCTCTGTCACTGCGCAACCGCTAGACCCACCCACCACCGCACTGCTACTCGTTGGCGTGGTCCTTCTTCCGGCCGCGGACTGGGAGGAGAGGCTGCCTTTAACCAACCAATCTGTAGCTGATTGGTGACCTTTCGAAAACGCCGACCATTAAAGGGACAAGAAAACGTCCACGTGGACGAGCCCCTAAAGAGGTCAAATGCCTTGCTTCCCTTTGGCACACCCTGCTCGCCCGGCAGTTATCGCTTCTTCCGGGAAAGGGAGCGTCTCTAATCTGGCAGCTCTGGTACCCGCCCCCAAACCCGAAGCCATTGATCCTTCCTCTATTGCAATGGTCCTGGCACCTCTGTTGGGGTCCCAATTATCTGAAAAGCCTAAGGATGTGGGGGACCATGAGCCTGATGGTCATTGCAGCTGACTCCATTTTAGAAAACGTGGGCTCAAGCCAGGCCTCGGTGGCTCTCAGCTTTAATCCTAGCTACTTGGGGGGAATCGAGGTTGGAGGCCAGCCCCAGCAAATAGTTCCCGACACTCCCATCTCCAAAATAACCAAAGCAAAATTGACTGGGGTGTGACTCAAGCCATAGAGCACCTGCTTTGAAAACAGAAGCCCTGAGTTCAAACTCCAGTCCCACCAAAAAAAGAGAACGTGGGTTCCGACTGGTTTGCTATGTGACGTTGAGCAGGTCAGTTAAGTGTTTTAACCTGTAAAAAGGGCATAATAAAAGCAAATGGCATTTTTCATATCGTTTGTCATCAGCTTCACTCCCCCGCCACCCAATGAGGCTAGCCATCACATTCTGCAACATCCTTACTTTAGTTGGAAAAACACAAGAAATGGACAGGGAAGGCTGGAAACTGCAGCTTGGTTCCCAATATCCTGGGTCTATATGATGGGGGAGGGGCACTTGGTCCTTTTTTCCTACACCCACACCCACTTCTTCTGGAGTCCTTGATGTTCTGTCAGCCCCCTCAAGGCAGACTGCACAGCAGGCTCACCATCTGTGTTTATTACAAACTGTTTAATTGCTTCTTATCCCAATAACTTTACAAATACAGAACCATATGCCAGTCTGGGGGTGCTCTGCAGTGAGTCACTACAAACTAGCCCATGAACAGCTTAATGCTGCTGAGATCCATCTAGGAGCAGTCTCAGCGGTGGCTCAGCCATGTGGGGATGAGGGTCTTGGAGGCAGCTGACAAGTGTGGACAGGAGACCTGGCCTCAGGTCTGTGGAGGTGCTTCAACAGCACGATGCTCATTTTCTGTCCTTAGTGTCTCCATGTACTTCCGCATTTTCTCAACCATCCAGGAGGGTAGGACAAAGGATTTCAGCTCCTCTAATTTCAGGTCCAGGCACCCTCTAGAACAGACATTGAGGTGAGAAGTTAAAGCAAGGGAGGATGTAGGCCCAGCCTCATCCCAGAGACTACGCTGAGGAACAGGGCAGGAGAAGAGTCAGGAGACCCACTGGTTTTACCTGTAGTCATCACTGGCAGCAAGGTCACGGATGTCCTCCTCGATGAGAAGGTAGGCCTGGGGCAGAGCAAAGGAGAGTGGTCACTGTCCCATTCAGCTCAATAATCCTTGAATTTTTTGACAGTATTGGGGTTTGAACTCAGGGCCTCCTGCTTGCTAGGCAGGCCTGCTACCACAACAGCCCGTATTTCCTCCCCCTCCCCCCAACCCATGTCTCTCCATTCACAGTACAGACCAGACATAGGACCTGGGATGAGGTGTATATGGGATAGGTTTACTTTGCCTCCACTTTTTATACAGTCAGTGTAAGAATAAAGGTTTTTGTGTTGGGTATTTTCGAGATAGGGTCTGTCAACTATTTGCCTGGGCTGGCTTCAAACTGTGATCCTCCTCTGCTTTCTCAGTAGCTAAGATTACAGGCATGAGCCACCAGTGCTGGGCTGGAAGGTCTCATGCTGCCCAGATTGGCCCTGAACTACTGGGTTCAAGTGATTCTGCCTCCTCACCTCCCTAGTAGCTGTGATTACAGGAAAGTAAGTACTGAGCCTGCTTCCTTTTTTTTCTGTTGGGACTGGGGTTTGAACTCAGGGCCTTGTGCTTGCAAAGCATGCACTCTACTGCTTGAGCCATACCTCCAGTCCATTTTGCTCTCGTTATTTTTGAAAGCCAGGTGCTGATGGCTCACACCTATAATCCTAGCTACTTGGGAGGCTGAGAGTGGGAGAATCTCAGTTTGAGGCCAGCCCAGGCAAACAGTTTGTGAGACCCCATTTCCAAAATAAACAGAGCAAAATAGACTGTAGGTGTGCTCAAATAGTAGAGTACCTGCTTTGCAAGCTTGAAATTCTAACTTTAAAACCCAACTCATGTTAAAAAAAAAAAAAAAAGGAAAAAAAGGAGGAATCTATATGCTAATTCTGGGGATTAAGACAACTTGGTTTTGGGCTTTGTGGCAAAAGGGAAAAACATGATAAACACCTTGCCATCTAGTAACGGGATGCACTATACTGTCCTGGGGCCTGCAGAATTGCTTTGACACAATGCCCTCTTGTGAGTTTACCACAAAAGGGATGTTCATCACATTAGAAAGTGTTTTGTGGACACTTTCTAATATTAGCGACAGGAATAAATGTGTGTCCCTTGAGTACTTGGTCTTCATCTTATGGGTATTGTGAACTATGTAACAGATCAGATGTCCTTGAGAGGGGCCAAGAGCTGAGCTGAATTTACAAATGTCTCCTGGGTCAGCAATGAAAAACAAAACCCAACATTTTTCTAAACTACTCTTTCTGTGACTTAATTTTAGGCTCTGTTCCCTCTGCCCATCTATTTACTTATGTTATATTACATTTTATGTTATCAGTCCTGGTCCCTGAAGTATTTTGTGAAATAAAGTGTGGGCACAGAGCAGTAAACTAAAAGGTAGCTCTCACTGCCACAAGGGAGATGGCATAGCAGTTTGCAAAGCCATTAGATTATATTGGGAGCAGTCTTGACAGTGGGACTGAGTCCTCAGGTGAATAACACTGCATGTGATGGGCAAAGCCCTCCACAGCAGTTTTAGGACACATACAACTATGATTTTCCTAAGGTTACTGCTTGATAGATAGGAGCTGGGAAGTGTTGTAGTGGCGGTGAGTCTGGAAGGTGCTGCCAGGTATGGCAAACATATTTCATTGCACATGCTGATTCCTATGGACAAGGGTGCAGCCTGGAGTACTGTGTAAAGATTCTATAGCTGCATCTGGAGAAAGAGCATTGTGATCAATGAGTAAAATCTATCCATGAGTGAGAAAAGGAGGGGAAAATAGCATTAAGTGTTGTAACTGTCATTCCATAGCTAATATGATCCCAATATGTGATTTTGGGGAAATGGGGTGGGAAGATGAGGGAGTAGAGGGAGCACAGGCCATAGGGAAAGGACTCCAGGGATTTCTGTCTGCACTATGAAATAAAGGAATGGGACTTGTAAGTCTCCCTTCTCAAAGTTCATCAGGCTTAGGGAGTCTCCTAGATTTGGAGGCACACTGTCATAGTAGTCAGAATCTTGGTTCCTGGGCAGGGTGGGACTTTGGCAGTGGTAGGTGTAAACAGTGCTTACCATCTTCCCCCCTGTTGCCCGCATGTGGTGTTGCTCAGCCAGCCAGTGCTTGTCCTGGGGGTCAGCTGCATACTGTGAGGGATGAAGTTACAGGAGAGACATTAGCCTGGCGTGAGGGGCTTTTCTTTTGACCCTTGAGTAGTTCTTACCAATTGCACCTTATCTGACCTGGTGGATGCAGTGGGCTCACAGGCAGAGCCAACTAAGCCCAGGAGACCAGGACTGCAACAATTGCCAGAGATTCAGTATATTTCTATTTCCCAACCCCGTCCTTTCTCAAATCACAGCATCTCTGGCAAATGTGGAACTGGCGACTATTACTTTAGACTCTTCTTTTTAAAAAAATGATCCGAGGTGCCTTACTTATACACCTGTGATTATTACAGACCATATTTTCTAAAACAAAAAAAAATCAGGACATTTCATCATGTATTGAAGCAGAATAGCATTACGGTTAAGGACCTGGTTTTGGAGTTAGATGAGTAAGTTTAAATTCTGGATTTTGTCACTTCTTAGATGGTGTAAGCTGGGCAATAATTTCCTTGAGACTTAAGCGTTCTCATTTGCAAAACAGAAAGTAATCATAGTTATCCAGTTGTAAAGAATAACTGATAGTGCACAAAAAGTGCTAAATATAGTATGTGATACAAAAGCACTCAAAAAAGGCAGGTTTTATAAAATAGGCAGAACATTTGGAAATTATTAGGCAGAAGTTGGTAATTCTGGGTTACTTTTCTTTGAGTTTAAATAAGAATATACTTACATTTAAGTATTACACATATAGGTACTATATACTTATAACTATATAATAAGTATCTAATACTTAAGTATACATAATTATATACTTACAAGTACATACAAGTCATAATTTCAAAGTGTGCATTCTTTGACCTAGCCATCCCATTTTCAGGAATTCACCCTTTACAATCACCTACATATGTATATAAGGATGTTTGGTTTATACCAGTTTATAACAGCATGGGAGAAAATATCTAGCAACAAGGGAGTGATGAAATAAATTATGGAATATACTCTTATGAATTTTATATAGCTATTAAAAATAAAGTGAGGGAGGGCTGGAGGTATGGCTCAAGTAGTAGAGCCAGGCCCTGGGTTCAATCCCTAGTACTGTGAGGGTGAGGGGGGGAGAAAAGGAGATTTAAATTTAATTAATTTAATAATATGGGTAAGTCTCTAAGTTATTATCCATTAGCTTTAGAGTGGACAGCAGACTTTTTTGTAAAGTGTTAGTAAATATTTTAGGCTTTTTACAGACCTTTAAAAACTTGGAAACCCTGGATTGCACAAAACAGGCTACAGGCTTACCTTTAGTTTGGAAGCTCTCAGCACAGAATGTAAGCTCTATAAGGGCAAAGACTTTTGTG